TTTATATTCTGGCTTCATCTGCTTGCCTGTACAAAATATACACAATCAATAAGGTGTTTACTGAATTTCGCCTTTTAATATCTGCGTTTTACTACATTACTACTTAATGCAAACTGCGTAAAAATAACTGGCGGTCAGTGGAGCAAAGCTTCGTTTTGCCCTCCAGGTGGGCGTTCCTATAAGGGTGTGACGTCACGTGAAAACTATCAATTGTTGGCTATTGCTACAAATATACCTGTGTTTGTGACTTCTGACTGGTTTTGTGGTCCTGGGTCACATATTGTTTTTGGAAAGTCTTTACAAACCACTTGCACAACACAGCCAGCAGAGGGCGCTGAGAGAAGCACATGATGTGAGTAATAGTTTCAGGAGTAATAGTTCCTCTCCCAGTCCTTCCCCCATCCTCCACAGGCATGCTGCCTGTCTGGCTCTAAAGTTCAGCCAGTAATGAGGGCAGCGGCTGAGCAATCTGAAGCACGACTGTACGGAGATCAGCTCGTAATGACGACATACGCAGGAAGCTGGTGAACGGCTGCTCTGAGATCAGTTCGTAATGAGGGTAGGGTCAGAGACAGCCGAGCGGGAAATGAACTCGAGGTCTGACGAGCTGCAGATTGTCTGCAGACATCTGGCGATGCTTCAGCAGCACCCAGAGAAACATGAGGAGCGTGACGCACAAATTAGCCGAGTGTTATCGCTTTTGCACTGCACGCTGGCGGAAGAGCCAAAGACTCAATTAGACCAAAAAAATAAAACACTGATCACTTTGTTTTCATGCTGAATTGAAAACCAGCTTCCATGGAAAACGTCTCGGGTAACCGTCATATTTCAAACTGTCCATCTTAATGTCTTTTTTTAATTTAAGAAGCTTTTTCCAGCCAAGAAGCTCCAGCGACTCTGCATTCTTAACTACACGCCGTCGTTCTGTTAAACACAAAGACACATCGTAAAAAATGAATAGTGTCTCATTCATCGTACAGAAAACATTCTGTCTGACCCAGATGTGCAGATTAGAGAAGGCAGCTTCTATGTGACGCAGCCGAGCAGTCAACTGGCTCTTTGGGTGGATTCGCACAGCTTTTTTTTTAACCCATGTGGTTAGACACACATTCCTGCTGAGTTATGGAGGTATAAGGCAGCTAACAGCATAAGAGTGTTGTGTCTACAGCACTCAAGAACCATTCACTGAAGAAACAAGCGGAAGAAAGCACATACAGAAAACCAGAACAACAGAACATTCACCTTGCTCAATACTGTATTCAGCCTCTATTTTTCTTCTACACGACTTTATTAAAATGCTTGTCATATATCTTATGAACACATCTGCGCCTCCAGGGTATGTTATATGATTTATATCTCCCACCAGACTTCTGCTAAATTATATGCCAATCAGACTCACACAGCAAAGTCTGTTGACATCGAAATGGAAAAATAAGTACTTGCTTCTTATTTGAAGATTTGAAGTCAGACATCAAACGGCTTTTAAGGGAATTCTGAATAGCGATGAATCTGTGATCATCTTTAAAGTCTCCTAGTGGTCAGATGACTCATGTTCATATGCGAACCGTTTCAAACGATTCAGTCCGATTTGGTGAACTGGTTCAACCGGTTCACTAAGAAGAACCGGTTAAATTGAACGATTCGTTCGCGAACCGGTCATCACTAGTTCAAACTGCAAGCTGGTGCGAAACTTAAAAGGCTTGTGTTAGGATTTATTTCTATGCCCATCACACCTGTGGTGAATCAGCCACCACTAGCAGAAACAAACTGAATTGCAATGTTCTTGGATTGAAATCTTAAGTATATACACTACTATTGAAAAGTTTGGGTTTTTTTGTTTGTTTGTTTTTGAGAGAAGTCTCTTATATGCACTAAGGCTGCATTTATTTGATCAAAAATACAATAAAATTGTAATATTGTTACATTTTATTACTATTTTAATATACTTTAAAATGTAATTTATTCCTATGATGACAAAGCTTAATTTTCTTCATCATTACTCCAGTCTTCAGTGTCACATGATCCTTCAGAAATCATTCTAATATGCTGATTTGATATTTTTGGAAACCATATTTTCAGGATTCTTGATGAATGGAAAGTTAGAAACATTAATATTTATTAATTTAGCAGATTCTTTTATCCAAAGCGACTTACAAAACTGCATTTATTTGAAATAAATATTTTTAACATTATAAATATATTCATTGTCACGTTTGATCAATTTAATGCATCCCTGCTTGATATATTGGTGTATGCAAATTTTTAATATGGTTATGTTTTCTTATTTTTCATATTCCTTCAATATATTCATTATAAATGTATTCATTCATTACGAGTTCTTTTATTATTCATTTATGATTTTTATTACATTACATCCATATTACTGTCTTATGTTATTCATTTACCGTTACTCAAGTATTATTCATTTATATTCATTATTTTGTTTAATTCCAGTCATACTCGTATTCCATTGACATAGTATTTTTCTTTCTCGCATTTGACATTTAAAAGGTTTGACTAAATATATATGAATATATTTTCTTTTCTTTCATTTGACACATAAAAGATACATTTTGTTATGCTTAAGTGATGTTTGAATAGGATGTTGGAAACTTATTCTCTGCAAAAAAAATGTATATGCAAGGATGTATTAAGTGTTCTATTCCAAGAGCTGGTGGTTGTTGCAAAGTGATATTTGAAGATTGTAAGCTCTGCTGTTTTTTGCTCAAAAGATGTAAAACCACAACCCATGTCTCTATTCTTATCTGACTTCTACCTACACAGGACATGTAACCGTGACCTAGTCCTGAACTTAATTCAGCTTAGGTAGTGGAACAGCTGGTAAGACATAATGGATAAAACTGTTTGACATTTATCAATCAGACACAGGGGCGTCATGCACTCATTATTTTTGAGGGGGCACGAAGATTTGAGTAAATAATGATAGGTTTTAACATTTTGGTTTAACTTATTCTTTATAAGGATGGGGTGAAAATAACAGATAGTCTACCCCAAAATGAAAATCATTTACTCACCCTCATGTCATTTTGAACCTGTATATGTGACCCTGGACAGGGGCGTCATGCACTCATTTTTTCGGGTTTCGTCACACAGCAGCCACAACAGCACTTATGTTTTATTTATTTTTTTCTTTTTATTCAAAACATCCCCAAACGCATTAACTGTATCATGAAATATCTTGATTCTCACCTTTATAGATTATGCTGATCTATAGTGGGCGATGGTCAAAGTAACCTAATAATGTAATCTATTAACTATGCATAAAAACCTGTCTGTTTACTTAAGTAAATATGGGTGTCATGCCATAACATTTTTAATACGACTGAGTTTATATTTAATGTGAATTTAACATTGAAAGTTAATGTGAATAAAAACAGTGCAAGTTAGGCTACTAATCATAACACTCTCATCTGAACGCCTCTGATTGGTCATTGCATTCAGAAGCTCAACAGCATCGTGTGTGATTGGTTAATGCGCAGTGCTGTAAAAACGCGTCTGTATTAGGGATGGGCGATACCCCTTATTTTGTTTTCGATACGATGTTTTGGAAGCTGCATTCAAAATCCACTTGGCTCAAAAATCTGAGGGGGCACGTCACTTTGAATGGGCATGACGCCTCTGATCAGACATAAACATCCCGTGATGTTGTAAAACGATGTCTCAAGTATAGGCCTATATTATTCTCAACCGGCTTCTCCTTTTCTTCTGCTCACATCACATGCTGCAAAGACTTTTATCTTTAACTTCTAAAGATTATTACACTTAGATTTTAGACTACTGTCTTAGAATTTTAGTAGAATATACCGGATCTTGTATTAATTGTTAATCTTTTCCTTTAATTTTAATATTTCATTTTTCTCATCTGTAATTGTTATCACTGATTCATGATAATTGTCTTTAATAAACTCAAAAAATAAATAAATAAATACATTTGACTAAATCCAAACTCTTGAATGGTAGTGTTTCGTTTTACTCAATTAATTCCCAATAGATAAAATCGGTAACACTTTAGTATAGGGACAAATTCTCACTATTAACTAGTTGCTTGCCTATAAAATACAGACAAATACATTTAGACCACTTAACTTAATGATTGCTATCGGGATGTGAAGAGACTTTCAACCAGCATAACAAAAAATGTTTCTGAAGACAATCACCTATTGCACCTTTAACAACTTAGTTCCACACTACATTTTGTCTCATTAAATACAGTATCTTGTTTCACTTGACATCATGAAAATGACCCAATTAAACCTCTAAACACAGATATCAACTGGTTTACAGCAACACGGTTTCATTCCTTCGAATGGGCAGCCAAATATACCTCAAGCTAGTGAAGAATAAAGAAAGAGCTAGAATGAAGGATGTGTGTGTGTGCACAGATGTAGAGGTGACCCTCACCTCCTCTCAGCAGCTCGGTGTGCAGGTAGGCCAGTCCTCTCGTCACTGAATGTGCCAGACGACAGCAGCTCACCCAGTCCAGCGTGTGCAGACTCAGGTACCGACACAGGGAGCCCTGCAAACAGACACATTACAGTTAAACTAGCACATACACACACAGAGCCTGTAACTGCTGAAACACACCACTAAAAGGGTCATGAAAGAACATGGACATGGTAGTTATTGCAGTAGCAGTAACATCTCGCTTGTAGAAAATAAGAACTGTGATTTTAACACTGCTCTACAGTAACAATCTATCCACATCAATATTGCTGCTTTTTTCTCATCATTGCTTTTACATTAGCATTTCAAATCTCTGCAGAGCAGATATGAAGCTTATGAAGCTCTTGAATAATGAATTGGAGCTTCAACAAAGTTGAATGTAAAGCCGCCTGCAACTAATTACTGCCTCTGGGGTATTTAGGCAACGCAATTAAAACTACCAGCAACAGCAAACAGTGCTGTACATAACAGAGAATTTTTTCCCCGAACTAAACTACAGAAGTAATACTGTAGATTAGATTTAATTAGTTCAACAGGAAGCTTTTGTACATACAGTACATGCAGTGCTGTAGAGAGGCGGATGTAATTATGTATGTTGTAGAAATATCAATAACTGTCATACTGTGAGCCAATTCAAAAGGTGGGTCAAATAGTTGCTTATTAGTTAACTGTCACTGTGGCATGCTGCGTTTAACATTGAATTGTAATCTCACTAAGGTCACTGTCCTGATGGCAAGCTCTTGAAATACTGCGACATAGGACCGATAAAAAAAAATAATAACTATTGTGGCTGATGCGACAAATGTGAATGAAGTGATGATTACAGAATTTAATTTTGGTTCACTCTTGTCGCAATGAAATATTTTATTTGCAACATTGTTTTGCACTTGGTTGAGCATTGTAACCAATCATAGATGTGTTTGTTGATGATCCAGTGGTCAATCAAATTAGTCTAGAATACAGGCATTGTTGCATTTTTTAATTTTCTAAATTAAAGAACCTGGCATGCAGTTGTCCTACACAAAACAAATATTTAAATGTAAATAAGATAATAAAACATAAATAAGATAGTATTATGATATGGTTACAATATAAGTAAAACAGACAAATCATTTTAAAATTAACAAAATATAAGGTAATATAATATGGTTACAACTAAACTCAAATCAACAATAAATATATTTTTTAAATTGAATATTATAATATAGTAATAAATTAAACAACATATTTTTTATAAAATATATATTTTTTTGTAAAATTAAAAAAAATGATTCACATATATGGTAATATTGTAACATGGTTACAATATAACAGATAAATAAGATAGTTTTATGATATGGTTACAGTACAAGTAAAACAGACAACAAATATTTTTTTATAAAATCAACAAAATAAAATAATGTAGCCTAATATAATATGGTTACAACTAAACTAAAATCAACAATAAATATTTTTTATAAAATATTATAATTGAATATTATAATTATAATATAAATTAAACAACATACAGTATTTTTATAAAATATATTTTTTTGTAAAATAAAAATAAAAAGATTCACATATAAGGTAATATTATAATATGGCTACAATATAACTAAAATCAACAACAAATATTTTTTATAAACAATTAACCTAATAATTGAGAAATGTATTAATCATGCAGCCTTGCAGTGCATGTTAATAATAGCGAATTGGCTCTGCACCGATAACAACGACGGATCAAGGGATTTTTGACCGGTCATCTAGGATGGAGGGGTGCAAGAGAAAACTAACAGACTACAGGGCACTCTGGGTAGAGCAATGATTATCTACCTGCAAGTGTACATCAGAGCCATAAAAGCCAATCGCTTTCCCTCAAGCCCTGCCTGAGTCTCCATGTTACCATAGCGACAGGGAAAATGTTGTTATCCCCAGACACTGGTCCAGGCATTCCGTCTTTCTAACAACGTGTGACAGACAGAACACTGACTAATACAGACAGACGTTGCTCCAAAACCTAGTGTGCTGCTTTTGCTGTCTACTGCCCACATAGGCAGCTGTCTTCTAAGGCAGCAACCCTCTACATTGCGAGTAAATCACTCGCATATGCGACTAAATCTTCACTCTGGCGACTAAATTATGTCTAATATTAGCCAATGGCTAATAAATTCTCAGATTTTACTCGCCAGTGTGTGAGTTGGAGGCTAAGTATAAGTTTAGCACATATATATTTTCACTCGCCGAACACTCTGACTGAGCACTTCAGAGTTATATATATATATATATATATCAGTCTGGCGAGTAAACTAAAAAAATTACTAGCCAATGGCGATTCAATTGCCAAGGTGTCCGTAGAGGGTTGAGGCAGCATCCTAACTGACATGGAACCCTATAAGGGATGTTTCAGAGCTCTTTTTAGGCACATGTGCCACACAAAACAACAAAAATGGCTCCTCACGTGAAGTGCATGGTAGACTTGACTCATAATTGCTTTCACTGAAGTCTGACTTTAGTATGTTGCTAAGCAAATGACAGGATAACAATAGAGAGCACACACACATTTATGACAAAATTCAATTAACTTTTCTATTCATGCTTTTCAACCTTGAGTAACTTTAAATGACATTTCTGTCTTTCTATTGTATGATCCACAGATTCTGGGATGGTGTTTTGCATGAAATGCTGTCTAGGAATTTAAAATTTGAACACCACAAGTTGCAATATTCCTTTAAAGAGACCTATTATGGTGACCCATACTCGGAATTAGTGCTCTGCATTTACCCATCCAAAGTGCACACACACAGCAGTGAACACACACACATCCGCAACCTTTGGGTTACGAGTCCGACTCTCTAACCATTAGGCCACGACTTCCCCTTGATATAAATGATTATATCATTTTGAAAATGCCTATTTTAAACCATATTAGTTTAAACTTCTGATATACGGTTTTCTGAGCGCACACAAATATAATGTGAACACAGTCCAGCGGGGGCAGGGGGAGGGGGGAGCAATCGAACTCGGGTTCGGACCAAGCAATCGAACCAAGTGTGAAAGCACCCTAAATAGTGTTCTGTGGTCGTAAGTGCAGCCACAGACAGAACAGTTAGCAAGCTTTGCTTCATGGCGTTAGAACTGGTACACCGTTGTCATTTGCGAAAACACAATGGCGGCGCTGTGGGTGGAAACTTGCAGATTAAGGGACGGAAATACTATAATAAGATTCCCTTTCTATATCACAGGGGGAACGAAATCTGAGCGTGTCACACTAGCACTTTTGGTGCGCACCCGGGTTCGATTGACGTTAGAGTTCGGTACGTTTGGATGATGTAAACGCGGTCTTCCGAACTCCGGTGCGCACCCGCGAACCGTACCCGAGTCCGCTTAAAAAGGGTGGTCTGGGGTACGGTTCAAGTGAACTTCGGTACGGTTCGCTGCTGATGTGAAAGCAATCGTACCAAATCACGGAAGTGAACCGCTATTAATGACGTATTATTTGATAAAAATGTGTTATACCACAGGGGGAACGAAATCTGAGCGTGTCGTTTTTTCACAAGCTTGCAGAGAAAGGCTTACCAAAAAAAATTACTGGGTTAATCTTTTTTTTACATTTCCTGGGTCGGAAGATGCACCGGGGACTCAATTATACCTCTTAAATATGTAAAAAGTCAGATTTTCATATGCCACCTTTAACTAAACTAACTAAAGCCAGTAATGATATCCTACAGGAAGTTATGTCATTTTTAGTGGGAAAACAAGCAAAGGATTGGATGGATTCTGTTAATTATTAGTTGGTATGTCTCAGACTTTTGGTATGTCTCTAAAACTTTTAAAAGATCTGTTAAAATTAACTTCATGCTGAAACCCTCAGGTTAGCTAACTCTCAATCACTCATTAAACAGTGGCTAAATTAAGATAGTTATTTCCATCCAGTTAATTTGCCACTATGTATATAATCATGTTTTAATTAGAAAAAAAATCTTGAGTGTGAAAGTCTGGTATACACTTTCATAGCAATTGAATACCTTAAATTATAACTCAGATATAATCATTTCAAGTTGCAGAGTTCAAAAGGTACAGCATATAAGGCAAAATCCAGAAAGTTCTTCGATTCAGCCTAAAGCAAACCATCAATTCATGTCTAAATAGGAAACGAACATTCACCTACAAGGGTTCTTCCTGTACTTTGGCTTTAGGCTAGGAGTTCATTATATAATTCATACATCAGAAGTGAAACAGGGCAAGAGCAAACACAGCGATGTCTCAACAGAGTGCTGTCTGTCTGCAGCCAGACACAATAAAGGTGTGTCTCATTCCTCACTGCCCTTCAAAAGGCCCAGGCGGGTAGAACAGGCGCAGGTTATAACATGTCAAACAGGAATGTACAGGAAAACATGTTGCAAAGAATGCTGGGCTATTGTTATTTTGCATGTTTTGTGTGAGTTCTGAAAGATGTGGGGGGAATGACTTAGAATGACTTGTGCCCATTGATAGGTCTGTTTATTTGCATGTTGTGTTTGCATTGTTTTAGCACCCAATTAAAGGAATTATGCAAATTAGATAGCGACATAAACATGCATAAATAAGACAGATAACGGCATAAAACAGCCTTTGTTCTAAATGAAATTTGCACTTCGTAATTTCCCAACTTGCAGGCTGGTTCTGAGTGCGAGGTTGTCAAGGATGCAACATACTACTGCAATCTGACATACTTTACTGGGAATGTAAAAGTCTAACTAATATGTAAAAGTCAATCCAGACACCCATATTGACTATTTAAAAAGCTGAAAGTGCACTCAACTTCGCATATATGCGCAGTTACTTATAACACTCATTTGGTGAGCAATATTGATGTGTAACTGTTGCTGTAATCAATAAAAATGAACATAAAATAACTTTCAAGCAAAATTCAGCTTACCACTTTTTCCCAGGTAATTTTAATGCAGTGTTAATTATGCCAGGAAGTTTTTGAAAGAAGAATCAATCTATAAAAAGCCCACTTCACAAAGAAAGGTGGCATGTTTGTATTTAAAAAAAAAAAAAAAAAGTGACAATGACATTTAAATACAGTGCTATAAAGTGCTGCAGGAATGAGTCCTAAAACCCAAAACCAAGTTAGCATTTTTGAACTTCCAGTTCCATCGTCCTGAAGTCAAAAATTTTTTTTTATGTTAACACAAGCATAATATATTTTCATGTTTTTTTGTTGTATGACATAAAATACATTAGTAATATCTCACTTGTGATTTTTAAAAGCTTTTACATGTTGAAAACGGCGGTTGCTAACAATAAACTATTCTAACTCAAACTATGCAATATATGACCTAATTTAAGCTTTTTACTTTGTATTGTATTTTGCAATGGTATTTAGGCTTCAAAATTCATAGTTGAGCTCATTTGTGAAGATTATCACAATGAACAAAATGTGTAAATATCATAAACTTTTGTTGGTCACAGAGCTTATTTTCTGCAATAATCCAAAAGCCAATGGAAAAATCCTATTTCTTTTTTGTTGAGGGATGCTAACTTCCAGATTGGCCTCCAAAAATACGTCATCCCTGCAGCACATAATTTCAGCACATTTAGTGCTGCACTGGATTGCAGGTGGTTAGTGAATAAAGAAATTATTCTTTAAATAAATAGAAATTTGTGCTGAAATGCAAAAGTGCTGCAGCTGTTTTGTGAATTCATCTCTCTATTTAAAATTGACAGAAAAACACCTTCTCTGACTGCAATGGCAGATGGATACAGAATAAGTGAATGAAAACAATAGGAGCCAGTCAGTCAGACGGAGAGAGAAAGATGAACAGGCACAACTAAAACACAAAGCTAACATCCAAGTCAACCTTCTCCTGCTGCCTGCTGGAAATCCATCTGAATCATGGATAAAAATACCTGACCAGATAGCGGCAAGACATTCGATTCCACTCCAGACTTTGACAGAAATAGTCAGGAGAAACTAATAAAACAAAGAGACGAGGAATAAAGGACAGATGAAGGTAAAATGTGGAAAACTACACCGAGCAGGGCAAGCAGGCACCAGAGTAGTGTCATATACGACTTTAAGGATGCGAGAAAAGAAGGCTTATACCAGATCAATACTTACATGAGGGTAGTACTCCATAACCAGCAGGTACTCCATTCGCCCATCTGTCGTGAGACGCTCATCGCCAACAATAAAACGAGCAATGTTCTCATGCTCCAGAAGAGGGATTCGGTAGATGGAGCGCTCATTCACGAAGTTCTGCCGGTTGGCATAGGTAAAAACCTTTACGGCGACTGGCCGTTCATCCAGTGATCCTTTGTAGACAGAACCGTAGCGTCCTCGACCAATCAACTGCATGAAAAATTATTCAGGTGTGAACTGTAGCAGATGTTACATGATAAACAAATACAGATGGTTCAAGTTCATTACAATACAATTCAAAATCAAAATATGATAATGAGCACATATTTGGTGGCAGCTAGAAGAGTTGAACTCACTTCCAGGAGCTTTAAACTGTCTAAATCCAGAGACGGTTCTGACGGTGCGGCCTCTATCATGTCCATATTGTGCAGACCCTGTTTACACTCCCCTGTAATAAACACAGTATGCACACAATGTATCACAACACTGTAACAATATGACGTGACCTTCCTTTTCCAAATAGCCAATCAGTAAAGAGTACTGCATCTCACCCATCATCATGCGATAGCCGAAGAACAGCGCCACGATCAAGACCGCTACAATAGAGACAGACGCGATGGCGATGAAGATGGCCTCATCCCTGTGTAAAGGCTGCTGCTCTTCTGGAGAAAGAGGGAAGAGAGAAGGAGAAAGAGAAATAGAGGCATGTTAGACATTCAATCATTACTTGCATTTAAGCTCATTTTAGCTTTTGAATTTGCATGTTGAATAAAGAATCAACATGCTGTTAAATTGCCACAAAATAAATTAATAACAAACAAAAATCATATACTGTACAGAAATGCAGTTACAATTAAAGTTAAGGAATCAAGATATTCCAGAAGGTTTCAAGGCAGAAATGTGAAATGTTATTACCATTTAAAATAACTGTTTTCTATTTTAATATATTTTTAAGTCTAATTTATTCCTCTAATGGAAAAGCTGAATCTACAAAGTTCTAAAAAGTTCTAAAAATACAAAGTTAAAAAACAGCATTCCTTTGAAATATGCCATATTTTGTAACATAATAAATGTCTTTACTGTCACTTTTGATACATTTTGTGTGTAATCATGCTGAATAAAAGTATTAATTTCTTTAAAAATAAATAAATAAAAATACTGACCTGAAACTTTTGATCGGTACTGTTTGTTTGTTTGTTTATTTATATAGCACAGTTTAACACCAGGTTGCCCAAAGTGCTTCACAATATCACAATAAAATTACATAAAAACAAACAGTCACAAATAACAACACAAATCACATAACAACATAGGCACAATTTAAAATAACTAATAAATAAATACTGTATAGTTTGTATAAAATGGGTCCACGCTCATTATGATAGCTAGAGGAACAGAAGTCCCGCCTTCCAGTTAAAAGAGCCAATCATCTCTTTGATAAAACAGATGTCTGTTGTTTTTTTTGTTTGTTTTTTTAGCTGGACAAGAACGATAATACATTTGTTTTTGCATGATTTGAACCAAATAATCAGCATTTTTGATATCATTGCTGTCAGATTTTATTGCTGATGTGAATTATGCTATTAAAATGTCATCTTGATAAGCAGTATGTCTATTGCTGCCCATAGGAATTGAGTAAGGGACAAGCAGAAAATATTTTTGTATGACTTTAACAAAGCTTTACATGTATTGAATCTGAAAAATTCCAATAATTCACGAATATCTGCCCTTGCGATGCGATTTCTGTCCATGCAAATGTGTCCACCAGTTTCTGTTCAAATCTAACAGTCCACCCACCAAAAGAAATCCTACTAACTTCTGTTCAAGGAAACTATCAAAATGATTGAAATCGTTCTGGTCTGTCATGTACGTGAGCCATACAAAGCCATACAGCCTCCAAAATCCAATTAAACTCAGCGCTAGCTTTCTTCAGCTTTTGATTCTTTTCACTTTCTCCATTTTCTCACTCTGCTTCAGACACAGACATGTCCTTGCATTCAAGAGTGAGAGCTTCGAGGCAAGAAAGCCGCTCTCACACAAAAAGAGCTAAAGAGAGAGAAAGATGAGTGGGGATGATAAAACCACAGCTATGGACTTCAGTTTCAAGCCGAGAGAAAGAGAACAAACACTTAAAATGGTAGGACAGTGCTTCAAAATCAAACCCACTCACACAACTGCTATGAGATGATGATTAGGAGAAATCGAGTTTAAAATATTGTGCATGCTTAAGTATTTAAATGAATTTGTGAACTGATGCATGCAGGAAATGTGGAATTTATCTGTGTTTATCTTCAAGGCAATGAATGCGGATGTATGGGAAAACACAACATAGATGCAAATCTACACTTCTGCCTGTATTTCTGAGCTGCTGGACCCTCCCAGGTCCACTGCAGCAGCTAGAACGGCAACAGACCTGCAGTGTTACACTATCACACAGCCCAAAATGATTTGAGTTTCTCAAGACAGATCAATAAATATGAGATTTAATCCACAACAGTGCGTCAGACTGCATGCTCGTGTTCGCTTCTGGAAACTAATCTCTCACACACACTCGTATATAGCCACACTCATTTAATGCTCAAAGGATAAAACAGGCATTTATAGATATCGACAGAAGAAAGAAAAAAAAACACACTCTCATTCTCACATATGCATAGACACTGTTTACATGTCTTGGAGCCGGCGGCATTTAGCTTGGAGGCAGAATGTCTGAGTGTGCCTCCCTCTTCAAGACTCTACAAACAATCCTGTTATACTTCCTGTATGTCTCCCTCCAGCTCCCTGTCCATTACGAGAGCTCTCCTTCCTTTCTCACATCTCCATGTTTCATATTCTGTATGTATGAAATATTACAGAATCATGGAAACGTACAAGGGTTATACTATTGCATTCTTTGAAATTACCATAAAATACCATGGTATACGCCAGTCATTCAGTATCACAATATATGCCAAAAAGTATTTCTATGTTTCATTACCAAGCACGACTATGATCCACATAACATAAAATAACCGTATAATAAACAACAAACACCATCTGATATCTTCACTGTACTGTGGTACTGCCATGAGAGAGTTTTATAATGGCTTTTAAAGGGGTTATATGATGCGATTTCAAGTTTTCCTTTTACCTAAAACGGCTCGTTTAGACACGCCTCCACATGTCTACGTCACGATGTGGGAAGATTTGCATAACACCTCCCAATTGTTCACGCAAAGAAAGAAGGCGTAACTTTATTGTTGCTGCCACCGCAATGTTGTGAAGACGTTGTGTGTTTCGTTGCGAAAGTGAAAATACTTTGTTTGGCCTTCCGAAAGAGGACACGACTAGAAATCAGTGGTTAAGTTGTATTTACAACACTGTTCCAGAACAGTTTAACCCAACAATTGAGATGTGTGCAGTGCATTTTATGGAGGACTGTTTCCTGATCCTGTGAGAGTAGACACACTTGCCACTGATGATTCAAACGCGAGTTTTGAGCAGTGTAGAGTAGTGCTTGTTGTTTGTAATTTCTCCGATCACAAATGCAGACATGGTTTGATGTTTACGCGGCGCGATGCAACGCAACGCGTAAAAAGACAGTCCAAGTCATCATCCGGGACACATTTCATTACACCAAATACACCAAATAATGTTCTTTTTAGCAACATCATATGACCCCTTTAACACACTGATTAACTCCCTCCCATGATTCCATAGGAGTTTGTTGTCAAGTTACATTTTTCTCTAGTCATGTTATGTCCTTCATGGAGACACATGGAATAATGCACTTCATTTCTCTCTGTAGCCTCATGTTTGTCATCACATCACGAGCCGATCTCCTGTCCTTCACAATCTTTCAGACCGAGCATCAGGACAGATGCAGTTTCCCTGGGCAACCAGAACTCTTCTGCAAAATCACCATCTCCCACTCATAATGCCTGGCAACCGTGCGCAGTCACAACCTGCCTGCAATAAATCTGTCTTGCCTACATTTTTATCTATTGTCTATTTGTGTCAGTGCTGTATTAGAGTAAAGACACTGCGCTGAGATGCTTTTAAAGTTAAAGGTTAAAAACACACACAGAGGAAAAGCAGCAAAAACTACTAAGCCCCATCAAATCAAAATTGTTTGGTTTTAGTCCATGTGTATTAGCTTTGAAGTCATCTAGCTATATGCTAGCATATTCCCTAACATTGACAATATTAGGATTTAACAGATACATTAAAATTAACATCACAACAGAACAGAACAAAAATACTGATGACTCATCCTTCACTACACTGATTTTTGTCCAATCAAATGCTCTGTAGAGTGAGAAAGTCCCTCCCCCTATGGCTCTGATGTAATTAGAAACTTCAGGATAATTTTTTTTAAAAGTTGACAAACTTTAAATGGATAATTAACCTAAAAACTTTCATCATTTACTTGTCTCATCAAGTTTGATTTTCTTTCTTCTGCTACACACACACACACACACAAAAAAACTATATTTTGATGAACGGAGACAAACATTATTGGTTCCCACACATCAAGCACGGTTGAGCTTCTATTGACCATATTTGATGTGCTCTATGCATGAGTGTTGTTGATACATTTTTGTATGTAAATAAAAGCCTAAGTCAAATCTGTTCATTATATAAAGTGATCATATCACTTCAGAAGACTTGTTTTAAACTGCTTTGTTTTTTAATGAAGTTTTTGAAGAAATGTTTTGGTTGTGTGGACTTTCAAATAATGGAAAAATACGTTAAAAGAATATTAAAAATATAATTTCGAAAAAATGGATGAAAGTTATATAGGTTTGGAAGGTTAGTAAATTATGACAATTTTCATTTTTGGATGAACTATTTATTTAATGGTTTTCTAATACAGAACTACACATAGTCCATAAGGATCAGTTTGTGCAAAGAGCAAAACAAAACTCTTACATTAAAATTTATAAGGAAGAGGGACATAGGCTATACTTTAAATCAAGACTAATCTGTGTGAGACACCTGCAAAACTGATTTTAAAAGCACTGAATGATAAATCATTTTTCTCCTGAGGAACATGCGTCTCATGTTATGAATATGATTATGGGTACCACACAGGGTCTTTCCAACAGACAGGCAGTCACATCATAGATATGCAGCCCATCCATAATACAAAGCCTGTGTGGGAGAATTTCAAAGACTGCTGGCTCAGAGACACCAGGGAGACTCTAATGGGAGTCATTCATGAGCGGGCAGACTTTCATGCTGCCATTACCACAACAGGGCTTAACATCACTACCTGAATCCCCCCACCAGCGAGGACAACAAAAGCCAATTTTTTGGGAATTCTCTGGCCTACATTCAGCTTTCAGAGTTGGATGTTGGGGAAGAGAGTGCGGGAGCCTGACAAAATACATCAGCATGTGCCAGACAAATACAACATGACTGCAATCTGCATTTAACCACTATTAACTTCCGATCCAAGGCATAGCTATGGGACAGAATATAATTGCGGCTTTTCTGAATTGAGCCACACACCCCAAAAACCACCTAGCAACAACCCAGAAAGCCATAGCAATTGCACAGTAACACACTAAAAAACTGGCTTTTCAGAGACTGGCAAAAATTCACACTGCATACAGATCTCACAATATACTGATATAGACAATAACACTGATATTTAAAGGGGTCATGAACTGAGAAACAAAAATTCCCTTTATCTTTTGACATATAAGAGGTCATTGTGCTATAAAATCATCCTGTAAGTTTCAGAACTCAAAATATTCTC